TTAATTAGTAGCGTGAAGTGTGTTTGTGTGTATGTATTAGCCTTGTGATGCTTGGTATGACCCAAGATCTATCATCATGAGTTTTTGTATCTCACGATAGTACCAAGACTGTAACCTGGATGCAGTTGTGTTTGTCTTGTTCACTGCCGTTTTCCAATCAGAGAGCAGTGTCCGACTTCTACTCTAGCTAATGAGTTTTGAATGAGTTATAGGCAGACATAATTTTCCTCTCATTTTAACTTCAGAGTGTTAAGGATGTAACCCCTATACAACTTTATAATGGTGCACCATAGATTTGATATCTATTACTTTATGTAAAATTTTCCCCTTAATTCAGTAAGTATTTACAGAATGTTCATCTTGTCAGATACTGCTGCACCAGCCTGTCTTCATAAAACTTAAGAGATTACTGCAGGAGCCAGATGACTGACTAGGTTCTTACAGAAAGCACAACATAGGGGGAAGAGAAAGGGATGAATTCCAGCAAATAGGTCATTAAGACTGGAACAGAGTGGGATAGGTAACGAGAAAGTCAAGGCTAGATCAGTAGAAGCAGGGTCGGTCTTCTTGAAAGACTTTGTAAAATATGCCTGAAGAGTTTGGATTATTTTGGGCAGTTAGAATCACTGAGAGATTTTAATCGGCGGGGTGGGGGGGGAGATTTAATCAGATTTGTTCCTCATGAGAAGGATTAGAGGGCAGGCCTGAAAGCAGAGTGGCCAGGTGCAGGAATTCGAGAGAGAGAATCAGAGTCTGAGCCTAGTTGGTGGCTGTGGAAAAGGAAAGGAAGATACAGAGCAGAGAGAAGAGAGACTTTGAGATACACAATATGAGTAGGAGCTGATCATAGATTGAGTGTGAGGAATGAAGCCGGTAGAGTTAGATGACCCCACATTCATGGCATAAGTCATCACAGGATAGAAGGTGGCTGAAGTAGGGAGGAAAGGGGAGGATGAGTTCACCTTTGAACACGATGACATCTGAATAAGGTCATCCTGACTTGTCCGATAAAAACTTGGGAATCTTTAGTACTGGGAGCCACCTGATTAAACATGGTGATCGAGGCTGAAGGAGTAAATAATAATACTAGGAGAAGTGTCGTTTAAAGTTTGAAATCAAACGATGAATACTGTCTGTGGAAGAAAGAGAGCCAGTGGAATGCACTGAGGAAAAGCAGCCTGGGGGGCCAGGGGACAAGAGGTCCAAGAAGGTGAAGTAGCAACTGAAACGCATCTGTTCGGTTTGGTAGCCAGGTGTCTTTGATGGGGGAAGTTTTAGAAGCTTGACAGCATGAAGCCTGACTGCAGTGAGCAGAGGAGTGAGTGGGGAGTAGAAAGTAAAAATAATGAAGATAGACTGGGGTTCAGTATCTGTAGACAGTCCGTGAATAATTACAGTTTTGTTCCTTTCTTTCAGCCCTTATACCTCTTATTTATTTTTCTTCTTTCTACTCTACTGGTTAGGGCCTTCAGGACAATGTTGAACAGCAGCCGAGGTGGTAGGAATCCATGTTCATCCCTGGTATTTAAAAGGAATCTAATGATTCCATGTTGAGAAAGATATTTGGTGCATACCATTTATCAGGTTAATGAAGTTCCCTTTCATTCTTATATTGTTGAGTTGTTTTTTTTTTATCATGAAAGGGTGTTGAACTTATCAAATATTCATTTACCAAGAGAATCATGAGGTTTTTCTTTTATTTGTGAAGGTGGCAAATTATAGTTTCAGATTCTTTTTATTGATAAGCCATCCTTGTGTACCTGGACTAAACCTAACCTGTCATAATGTATTATTTTTAACATTCTTCTCAGTTTGGTTTGTTTTGGTTTTTAACATCTGTTTATAAGTGAGATTGGCTTGTAATTTCCTTTTTTTGTTCTGTCCTCATCAGGGTTTATTATCAAGGTTACACTGGCCTCATATAGTGAGTTTGGGAGTATTCTCTCTTTTGCTGTTCTCCGGAAGAGTTGTATAAAATTGAAATGGTCTGTTCTTTGAAAATTTAGTGGAATTTTCTTATAAAACCACCTTTGTGAGGTTTTTGTTTTTTGGACCAATTAGATGTATCTAATGGATATAGTGCTATTTTAGTTTTCTGTTTCTCTTTGGGTCCGTTTTGACAAGTTACATCTTTCGAGGAATTTTATCATTTCCATTTAAGTTTTGAAATTTGTTTGTTATAAGGAAGTTCATAATATTCTTTTATTGTCTTTTTAACTTATGTTCATTCTGTAATTATGTATTCCCTTTTCTAATCTTCTTCCATTTTCTTTCTTCTAATGTTTATTTGCCTATTTCCAAATGAATTTTGCTCTGTTTGTAAGATCAGTCTCATTAAGGCTTTGTTTATTTGATTATTTTTCAAAGAACTGTCTAGCTTTTATCTATTTTATCTTTTTCTTTTAAATTTCTGTAGTTATCTCTGTCACTTTTCCTTGAGTTTATTTTCTTCCTAGTATCTATACATTTATTATTCTCTGTCTCCTTAAATTGGATAATTTGTTCAAAATTTGTTCCTTTCCAGATTTCAATTCTAGATTTCAATTTTCAATACTAATTCTAGTATTTTGTAATATAGTGAATATATCACTGCTAACTCTATCCATTACTTTGATGATTTTATAGACTTGAATAATACATTTCCTAGACTTCATCATTCCAGACCGAGAACTACTACTGTATGTAGAGTACTGCCCTCCTAATATTTAAAATACCTAAAGTTTCTGGAAGGTTTTGACTACTTCCAATTTTTTTTTTTCTCTTACCCAACTTTCCTTGTTTTCATTGCTTGGCATTTCTCTCCATTTCTCTTCCCCAGCTGCTGCTCAGCTTCTTCCTCTTTTTCCCTCACCCCCTCTTTTCTACCCCTAGATACTTTGTGCAGTGGAAGAAGAATGATCGTCTTCCCTTGCCCTCTGCCCCCACTTTTTTCTTCTGTCTCCCGGTTTTCTACACTCTAACCACCGCCACCCCCCCAATACCTGCAGGATTTTTCCATTATCTGCTCAACATTGTTCATCTTGCTCTTTCCTTCTCCTTAGAACCCTGGCTCCAGCACCAAGGAGGAAAAAGAAGATAATTGGTGTCTAATTTTCTTTAGATGCTCAAAGGTTCATCATTATGTACCTGATGATTTTTGTTATTCCTAATACAGTCCAACTGATGGCAAAGTTAGGGAGAGTATAGGGCAGGCGTAGGAAGATGGCATAGATGGTAGAGTCTGAGCTCCTATTACCTGGAGTCCTGAAATATGGGCTCTGGCATTCGTGACTTTTTCCTTGCTGTCTGACTCTGGGCCTCACATTGCTCCTGGGTAACAGGGTTATTAACACAGACCCCTTCTCCCTATTTCATGAGTTGCTGTGAGACTCAAATGAGATAAGGATAAACCCATCAGTTTTATGTTAAGACAGTCTTCCCGAGCTCTATTTTCAGAAAAATATCTTGAAAGGATTTTTTGCTCAATTCAGGGACAGAGAAGTGGTGTTCAAGTGTTTTGTGGCCTGGGGTGCTGGATCAGAGAAACCCTGGTGGGAAGCAGCCGGTGGTGGTAGGAATGACCAGAAGCACTGGAGCTCCGCCCAGTGGTTGAAAGGGATTCAGAAGAGGTGTCTGTCCTCTGGGGAAGGGAGCTCAGAGCCTCCCCGGGTGGAGAAGTGGACACGTTGTTATGTCCAGTGGTTGGATCCTAAGCTGCAGTGATACCATCTGTTCCTTTACCTATCTTTTTATTTGCCACATTCATGACACTGTGCCTTTCTGAGGTACTTGAGAAATCACCCTTCACTTAAAATGCTGGTATGAGGGAGATTTTGTTGTTCTGGGTTCTGGACAACTGAATTGCAAATGAAGTGTGGGAATATAATTCTCCTTAATAAAATTTCTTAGAAATGATTTAACTTTGAATATTTTCTTCACTTAATTTTGTTACTTTATTTTGTGGTATGGATGAGTTGTTTAAAATCACAGAGTCAGACTCAATCTTAGATTGTAGAGCATCTACACGTCTGGTGATTTTCAGGTTTTATTGGGTGCTAAAGTAGATGCCAGTGTACGAGAGAAGTAAAAGTAAAAGCACCTCCTCATCCACTAAGGTGCCTCCATACAACACAGTTCGAAATGATTGTTACGGTTGATCTCGTCGCCTCCATTCTTACAGGTGAGAGTAGGGCCTGGAGAGAGGGTTCAATACCTCCCCGAGTTTATGTAGCTAGGAGGGGCTACACTTAGAGCCAGATCCAGGGATCTGCCTCCAAATTCAATGCTGAAGAACAACACACTATATCACACACAGCTTGAATTAGGAAAATTCATCCGTTAGAGAAGACAGTCCACCTTGTTTCAAAGCTGATGTGGACATTTATAAGCTAATTTCTCGATTCGACAAAAGGATACCAACTTTAAAAATAATCAGATGGCCAAGAATATGTCAGTGTCTTTGGATTATGCACAGAATACCTGTATTCCAGGTTCGCAACAGGAAACACTCTCCATCTTTTTGTGAAAATTTTGCTTAGTTGAGGTCACATTTTTGGAATATATAGAATTTATCCATGTCTCTAAATGTTCTAAATTTTATCCTAAAATTAAACCATCAGAATGCTACAGCCTGGGCTATATTTTCTTGATTTTCTGAAAAATGTCCCTCGCTGAATTTTAAGTTGGAATTACACCCTCCATTTCTATTCAGGGGCATTTCAAAACAATTTAGCTTAAGTGGCATTATTGATTATTTTGCCCTCAAATACTCTTAATCCCCTATATATTACCCTGAATGAGAAATGAGAGCTAAGGACAAGGAGGGAGTTTGTTTTCCCTAAAGAAGTGATATATTTTCTTCCTTGTGGACAATTAAAAGGGCATATTGTATTTCTCTTTCTGTTTTGGCCTTAAGAGAATTCAGAGCCAGATTTGTGGCTTGTCCATGGTATCTGTGTAGACGCCATCACTTGTAGGTCTTACCCCATTATTGTATCAGAAGTTGTTCTGTGTTTTCATAGCCTCCCAGTTTGGAAATCACTGGATTACAACGTTCTCTTGTGAATTGGTTGCACGTGGCTGTGCCCCAGAGTGCATTCAGATGTGATGATGATAATTTGGGGATTTTTCTGCAAGTAGTAAGTACTAAGTAAATAGTTGTTAAAACATTAGGAACAGATTTGTACTTAATACTGTGGTTTTATTTTATGTGAAGAACATATACATTTTGATATTAGTTGACTTTGTAGTAGATCATTTCAAGGACCCAACTTAAGCTATGTGATATGTTACAACGGGAGCCTTTTATTTTTCATGTTAATGCAAATCAAACTGTTTATTTTATATTTGGAGAAAAAACTTTTAATTATTTTATTTGTGCTAGAATTTGCATAGCATAAAATTTATCATCTTAACCATTTATAAGCGCATAGTTCAGTGACACTAAGTACATTCATATCGTTGTGTAACCATCACCACCATCCATCTCCAAAACCCTTTTCATCTTCCTAAACTAAAACTCTATACACATTACACAATAACTCATCCATCATTCCCCTCTTCTCCTAGCCCTTGGAAATCATGCTGCTACTTTCTGTCTCTCTGAATTTGACTACTTTAGGAGTCTCATATAAGTGGAATCATACAATATTTGTCTTTTTGTGAGTGGCTTATCTCAGCATAATTCCTTTAAGGTCCATCCATGTTGTAACATGTGTTAGAATTTTCTCCTTCTTTAAGGCTGAATATTATTTCGTTGTATGTATATATACCACATTTTGTTTATCCGTGCATCCACCAGTGTTGTATTTGGGTTGATTCAACCTTTTGGCTGTTGTAAATAATGCTGCTGTGAACATGAGTGTACAAGTATCTCTTTGTGTCTGTGCTTTTAATTCTTTTTAGCATATACTCAGAAGTGGAGTTGCTGAGTCATGTGGTAATTCTATTTTTAATTTTTTGAGGACTCGCCATACTGTGTTGTGTAGTGGCTGCACCATTTTACATTCCTACCAACAGTGTGCGAGGGTTCTAATTTCCCTACATCCTTGCCAACACTTTTTGTTTCCTGGGTTTTCTTTTTGTCTTTATAGTAGCCATATAATTGGCTGTAAGAAAATAATTTTTTTTTAAGTGGAGTTAACCATGTTTGCTATCCAGATGTTGACCCCAAGGTTGCCAGACTCTACACTGGCTCATAACCACCCTGCAGAGCAGTGCTTTCTCATTATTTTTCAAACCATTCAGAAGTTACCCTGGTTCAAGTGTAGCGGAGGGTGCACAGTGCCAGTTCTCCTTAGTCCCTTGTTTCCCCTTCAGTCAGTAAAAAACAACTGCACAAAGCAGGGATGTGGTTTCCATGGACTGTAGACTTGGTTTAAGTTCATATATCTGTATTATACTTTTATGTTATCTTTCTGTACTTTAGATACCAAATGTCGATTTGCTGTTGTATTTGGAAGGATAATTGCTCAATTGAAAAGAATTTTATCTTGTCTACAAAGGAAAGTGAAAGTGCAGGTATGTTTGAATGGTGGTAGATATAAAATATGAGACAAGGAAATTGATATACAGTTGACCCTTGAACAACGTGGGTTTAAATTCCACAGATTCACTTACATGCCAATATTTTTGAATAGTAAATGCTACAGTATTACATGGTCTGTGGTTGGCTGAATTAGCAGATGTGGAGGAACCTTGGATACAGAGGGTGCGCTATAAGTTATACATGGATTAACCCCTGCATTGTTCAAGGATCAACTGTACTTGAGAAAAATCAAGCCTACCTTCACTTGTACAAGGGAACTAATCAAGGAAAATATGTGTTTCTCAAAATCAGAGCACGGTTATCCTCGGTGTTAGAATTGGACAGGTAATTTAACATTCTATAATGAAATTATTAGATCTTTAGCCGTTTTTAGGAGTATAAAATTTCTATAAACCTTGAAGTCAAAGGAAAATTTTAAAAGTAAGATGAAAACATGGGAAAATGTAACCACAAAATTATAAAAAGGGATCTTAGAGGTTACCTAATTTTTCTCCATTTGCAAGAATCCTCTCTCCAACTTCCTGCCAGCCAGATGGTCCCTTTATGTGCCATGTAAACACTGCCATCGATGGACATACAGGCAGGGGGTGCCAGTGGTTACAGGCTTGGAGCTTGAGTCAAACCCAGACCTGGGTTCGAGCACCGGCTCCATCGTTTACTGGTTCTGCGATCCTAGGCAGGTCGTGTCATCTCAATGAGCTTGAGTTTCCTCATTGTTAATAATACCTACCTCATAGGATTGTGGGAGGATTACATGAGGTGGCACACCAAGTATTTACCATAACATCTGGCATATAGTAGACATACCTAGATGTTAGCTCTTGCGCTTCTAGCTGCTACTACTACTCTTATACATGAATAATCTTTCAGGGCCACCCAGTCTACTGTAGGAAAACTATAAATACTAGAAAGTTAAAACTTACATTAAGGCGAGGTTTTTTCTCTTCTTTTCTTTTTTTTTTTTTAATTCATGGTTTCAAGTTTGTGCTCTGCAGCATCACAAAAAAGTGAAAGGAATTACCTCTTGTGACAATTCATCAGCTTTTGGAGCGACCAATAAATTCTTCTTCCCCAAGCCAGGCATCTCCAAGTTCCTTCAGCAGTTATTCCTGTGTCAGGCTTTCCAGATCCTTACTCTTCACCGATTGCCCTCAGGTTTTGTGTCCTCCAGAAATGAGCCTGGCGTCCCACATGAAGTTGGGGCGCAGAGCATGGCCCTTCGCAGTTGGCTTTCCGTCCCGCTCCCGGGAAGGAACCTCTAGGGCTATGATGGCCTCCCCAGCCCTGAGGGGTGGACCCTGCCTCTCTGGCCTCTCCGGCCTCTCCTTTGCTTCACTCTTGCCCCACTCGCTTTGTTCTGAGGACGGTGGCCTCCTGTTGTGCCACAGACTCGCAAGCCCCTTCCTACCTCAGAACTTTGCTCTCCCTCTGCCTGAAGCACTCTTCTCCTGATACTTGCTCTCCTCTCCCTCACCCTGGCCTTTAATCCCGTGGCGCTTGCCCGGTAAGCCCCTGGCCACCCTGGTTCCTGGGACTCGCTTTCCCCTCCCAGCTTTATTTTTGTTGTTAGTGTTCTCCACCACCTAACACACTGTGTATTTCACTCCTTTACCTGTTTCCACTTGGTAGACTGTAAGTCCTCTGTGTGCAGGTATTTTTGTCTGCTTTGTTCACTGCTGATTCCCTGCAGCCTGGAATGCCCGGCATGGTGTAGGTGGTTGATGAATATTTGTGGCATGAAGAGCACAATGGGAGGATTGACTCCCCTCTGTGAAGAAGTTGTGTCATACTAGGCTGGGAAGGGGTGCTTGGGCACCAGTTGACAGTCATGGGTCCTTTTTTGTTTTGTTTGAAAAAATCGGAAATTTTTTTTTTTTAGAAGATGTTGGGGGTAGGAGTTTATTAATTAATTAATTTTATTTTTGCTGTATTGGGTCTTCGTTTCTGTGCGAGGGCTTTCTCTAGTTGTGGCAAGCAGGGGCCACTCTTCATCGCGGTGTGTGGGCCTCTCACTATCGTGGGCCTCTCTTGTCGCGGAGCACAGGCTCCAGACGCGCAGGCTCAGTAGTTGTGGTTCACGGGCCTAGTTGCTCCACGGCATGTGGGGTCCTCCCAGACCAGGGCTCGAACCCGTGTCCCCTGCATTAGCAGGTAGACTCTCAACCACTGCGCCACCAGGGAAGCCCCGGAAAAAATTTTAAAGTGTACTTAAAGAAGGAAAAATTAGAAGCCATGTTCATTATTTTAAGACTTTGGGAATTTTCCAGTCACTTTGGTTGCTTAATCAATATTTTATTGAATACATAACCTTATTTGCTCATAAGAGTTTTGTTTTGTAAAGATCAATATTGGTCATTAAAACAAGGATATTTATTCTTTAAGTATAACTTAACAGAGCTTTCCAAGTAGTGGGCTTAAGAGTAATGATCTTTTCAACCCTTAGAATGGCCAGAGCCCCAAATCAGGTGCTTGGTCTCTCCTGTGTGCCACACAAAGGTTGTTTTCCATGTGTGCCAGGACTTGCAAAACTTGGGAAGCACTGCTTTAGACACATAAAATGTTTTCTTCAGATGGAGTTAAAATTTGCTGAGCTGTGATTCAAGCATATTTTAGTCATCCCCTCCCCCCCGCCCAGTTTGAGAACCATGAAAACACTTGTCAAAACAGAATAAAACATCAAAATTCTGTAAAAGCAAAGTTATTGTCTTTGTGGACTTAATGATGTTCAACAAAATGATATTTCCAGAGACAGAGCTGAAGGCATTAAAAGAGGGGAGTTGGGGATAGCGGTGTAGCTATGCAGTGGAATAGTCCTCAGCAGTGAAAAGGAAAGAACTGCTCATACTTGCAGCAACATGAATGAATCTGAAAAACATTATCCTGAGTGAAAGAAGCCAGACACAAAGGAGTACACTCTGCACGATTCCATTTATTTGAAGTACAGGAGCAGACAAACCTAAAGCATAAGTTACAGAAATCAGAGCAGTGGTTTGCAGGGCTGGGGACAACAGGGAGAGTGAGGGGACCTGGGGGAGGGAGAGAAGAGAAATGGTCTTTATCTTTATAGCGGTGCTGGTTATGTGGGGTGTACGTTTGTGACTGTTCGTTGAACTCTACATTTAAAATTGATGTATATAATCTCTCAATAAAGTTAATTTAAAAAATCAGAGTTGGTAGGGCGTTACCTTTTCTAGTTATTTTCACCAACAGAACTATCAGCTACAGAGCCCTTGAATAACATCTGAAAATAAGATCTGTTTAGATTATGATTAAACTTCTCTGCTTTTAAAAATGGTTGTTTACCTCCTGCGGGATTATCTCTAAAAAAAAGAAATGTATTTCGGGGATACATAAGATATATAAATCTGTGGTGAGTTACATAAGAGTAAAGCTATTTTTAGGTAGAAGCTTTGCAGCCATGATGCAGCAGGAGCGTGCTTAACGGAATCTCAGATCGGGTTCCTATAGTAGACGGCTGAGAGAGCCATGCGTGCTGCACTATAGGAGGGTACCTTGTAAGCATCATTTTGCGTTTGATGCAATGCAGATTTTTCACAATTGCGATTTTGATGCAAAAGTTTGCAAACATCA